ATTCTAAACTCATTATGAACAGTTTTCACTCTTTAAAAATTTGCATATTAATATAAAACATTAATCCAATGTGAACATTTTTCACAATAATATGAAGAATTTTTGAAGCATTTTTGTTTAATTCTAACAGTTTTTATTCCAAAATATCTTTTTTACTGTTATCTTTTATTTCAAAATGGTCTTTTTTCCAATGGCTTATTTATTTTAAATTGATAGTTTTCAGCAGAATGACTTTAAACTGTTAGTCAACATCAGTAGGTTTTGGTTGATCCTTTCCAATCGATTAGTTTTCGTAACTAGCTTGTACAGCTAGTGATGACTTGCTAGATCAAGGGTTACAAGGATAGCAGAGCTGCATGGTGTGCTCTGTTTATCTAAACTGCAGTTTTAGTTTGAACTCCARACTACAGCCTCCTGCATAGTCGAATGCTTTACACCTTTAGGCGTAATTTGATAACGGTATGTGGTTACTTTGTCTGGGTAAAGGAATAGTCTGTATCAAACAATTGACTCTGCCCTGTTCCTCTTGATTGACAGTTAAAGTCATTCTGCTGAAAAGTTTAAATTAATGAAGCCATTCGGAAAAACACCATTATGAAATAAATAATGACTTTGTGAAACTGAAACTGTATTTTGCAATAAAAATTGCTAGAATTAAATATAAATGCCTAAAAAATAATCTATAATTTTCGGGGGGAAATCACATTGAAATAATGTTTTATATTAATAAGCACACTTTTATTGGACAATAAAAAATTCATAAAAATAAGCCTAAACGTGTTCAGTTATTTATTATTTATATTGTCACATTATACATTTAGCTATTATTTATCCAAATAGATACTTATTTCTTAATGTTGTATTTATTTCAGTATTATAACACTTAGGTGTTCCATACAAGGTACACTGCAAACACTAAAAAAWTTATTTAGTCTGTAATAAATTAGGAGTAGCACAGGGGACATGGTATCTATTTACAGAGGTCATTGTGTACACCCTGGACAGGTCCCAATAAATTTAATCATTATGTTATTTTTGTATGATCAGACAAATTAGTAACAGTTAAAGTTAAAGCAGTTTCATTAATAAAATGAAAAGACAAAAGTTAAACACTGTAAAAGACTAATTAGTTGCTTAAATTAATGTATTTCCTATACAGCTGACAATCACTGCTACCAATGTAAACATGAATTAGGTTGAATTCTATATTGGTTATTCATTTTAGTGATACTTCAGAAGACAAAAAAAATAAATCCTGATAAATTATTTCATAAGGTGCATTACAGAAATACTCCGAGATTCCTCTGAGGAAGATTTTTCTAATAGTTTGGTTGTAAATCTTAATTAACACAAATTCAGCTCAGGGACAGCAGATCTGAAACACAGATCTACAAACACAGTCATGCCTAACTTATTTCAATAATGGCCAAAATAATTACTTGGAGCAGGGCAAATTCATTAAACAGCCATGAACAAGCAGACCTACTGAAGTTCAGATACAGTTTGTTACAAAGCCAACTTGTAAAACTTTTAAAGGAATCTACATTGAAGATAGAATTTTTTTTTAAATCAACTTGTTWAACAACTATGTTAAACTTCCCAGGTTGGAGATGTAAAGGAGTTGAACTTCTGGAACATATATTTGAGGGTGCAGACTTTGTTCCATTTCATAGATTAATAATACAATATGGCATTGACAAGAAGAAATTTTTAGAATATCAACAAATTAAATCTATAATAAAATCTAAATTTAAGCTCAATAATATTTTATTGGAAACACCATCAAGTATATTAGAATTTCTTCATCTTACATCCCCCAAATTGTTATCTAAAATCTACAAAAAATTGTCTGACATAGATGACCCAATATCGCTCCCTATGGTAAAATGGGAGACAGACTTATCAGTTAACCTTGACCAGAACACCTGGTCTCAAATATGCTTAAGAACATTTAAAATGACTAGAAACCCCAATTTACAATTAATTCAATACAAAGTCCTTTATAC